AATGTATTTCCGGTGCGCACCCTATACAAAGATTTACCCTATATTAAAACCGGAAATCCATTTCTGGTACAGTTTACATTATGAAATTTAAGGGTGCGCCCCGGAAATGCTTTTCCGGGGGGCATTTTTGGTTTTTCATAGGTTTTTTTTCCCTATCTAGGGTGCCATAAGAAATTCTCTAATAAGATTTGATAAACATTACGGAAAATGGTCATCAATTCATGATTTGAATTTCAATTTGATAGCCATGGTTTCTCTATACAGTACATACATGGTTTGGCGGCCCGAGGAGTTCATTATTTTCATAAGCCTGGCCCTATTCTGCAAGATGTTGGATTCTTCCTTCTTCCGGTTTGTAATTGTCATTCCCTTCTTTTTCTTTTTCACCATTAAACAGAATGAAAGGAACGCCTTTGTCATTTATAATCTTAATGTTTCTGCAGGAGCTCGGACAAGACAAAGCTTACATCAGCGAAACACTGTTCACCACAATCTTTATATCCTTTGCCTTGGTAAGAATTTGGTGTCTCAGTCTTCGTATATTATCCATAGTCTTGTATGACTGTATTCTGTATTTGTTTATGATATATAAAACTATTATCAGTACAAAACTTCAGTGACATTGAAAAGTTCCGATTTTTAAAAGGGTTGTGACAATTGTGCTTTTGCAGTGGACGTTTCATCCTTTCATATTGAAAAGCCGAAAGATTTACACAGTTCTTATATGGTGCAGGGTTCTGGCATTCTTATTCGTAAGTGTTGATCACGTCGTGTCCTTTTCATTTAAGTACTCTTTAATCTTCTGGGGTTTTCAAATTAAATAGATGAGTGCTTATCATTTGTATGTTCACCGCAGGCTTCTCAAATTCTCCGCATAATTACATTTTATTCTACGCAACTTCCAGGTCCAAACTACCACTGCCGCGAGGTATGATCGGTTGATATATGCACTTGTAAGACATAATATTGCTTAACATGTTTTAAATGTTACTTCTGTTAATTTTGTTACATTCTCTTAACTTTACACTACACTAATGTATTGAACAGGGTTCTAAACTCGCCACATTGCCCCGTCCAGATAACATTCTTGAAGTTCTCGTGATTAACTGTTAGTATACATTACGGAGTTGGTGTTTTAGCTTTGATGCCTTTTGGTGATTTGAGCACTTACTTTTATTTCAATATGCAGTTCCGCATGGCGTGTTATATGGATGCGGTGATTTAATATTTTCGTCACACATGATCTTTACTCTTACTTTTGTGCGCACATATCAGAAATATGGAACCCGAAGGTTACTTCATTGTTCATTTCAAAACATGCCCTCGCTGTCAAATATTTTGTCATGTTTAAATTTTAATTCTGATTATTGTGACTGTGGATGAACCTATAGGTCCATAAAGCAGCTCGCGTGGCTGCTTGCCGTGATTCAGAGTCTTTTGATAGTAGCATCTCGCAAACATTACACGGTTGATGTAATTGTTGCCTGGTAAGGAGCTTTTCCTGCATTGTGATTGAAAAACCGCCATCTGTTCCCTTTTCAATAATCATTTGATATTTATGTCCCTGGCTTGCAGGTACACTGTAAATTTGGTGGTATTTTTTGTTGACAAGAAATTGCCAGGTTTGCTCATCTGTAAGACGGCACTAACGTGCCCGTCTGTCTGCTTTTTCTATTATATTTCTATACAGATAAATATCAACGAAATTGATAGTTTCCGGTATTAACATATACTGTTTTGGTTTACTTGAGGTGCTATTTGCTGTTGTTCTGACTTTGTTATTTGCAGAATTGCCGGACCGGTCGATTGCAGCTTCAGCAAACCTGCTGCCATTGAGCACCAAAGACAAAGACGGTAGGAATAAAGAGGAGAACTACAAGCTACTGAATGGAAATTCCGGTGACCCTGCGGATCGAGTATGGCAAATATACTTACCCTTTACCTTTTTCTTATTATATTCTGCCGGTCAAAATCTAGACGTAACGATTTTTTTCGCACTTGCTCAGAGACAAAGATCTCAAATAAACGGCAAGATCACTGATGACGGCAATACACACCATACCGACTCTTCCATGAATGGTGCATAGATAAAGGATCGAATCGGCTCCACTGTACAAAATTGGATCTACTGCAATATTGCTGCTGGAAAGCTTCAGCCTTCAATTAGAAAATCTTGTAACTTCTCAAACATCTCAAATCTGAAGTCAAACCAGTACCAAGAATTGTACTAGTCAAAGTTAAATCTAGGTTCTGCTTTTTCAACATTGTGCAACCCTACCAATTCCTCCTATCAATGTTGAGAACATGTTCATAGCCTTTTTTTTTTTGCTGGTTTTATTATCTTCTTGCATTACATAGCAACCTAGTGCTTAGCATTGTGTAATATAGGAAACATATAATGTTAAGAAGAGGTTAAAGCTAAATGCAAGTATGCAACAACACTTGAGCACTTATTTCTTACAAAAAAAAGGTGGTTTAAGGTCTACAAATCCTAGCTCAACTGGCAGAAACCGATATTACTAGACTGGAAATCATCACCAGGGTTCGAATCATGGTACTCACTGTTGTGTGTATGAGTTTTTAGTGGTTATTACCACTTCGATTTTTAAAACACTAGATTTGCCACACTAGTATTCTTGAAAGTTGAGATGGTGGCAAAGTAACATGAGCCAGCACATGATGTTTTGACCATGCATGTGCTTTCTTACACAATAGTGCTATGATGATTGTCCTATGCCTTTGATTTTTCTTCTTCTATTGAAATATATTATTTACGTAGTTCATATTAGTAGCACAACACATGCATTATCTCATTTACACATGTTTGTGGCCCTTAACTTTTCAAGCACTTGTTATCCCTCAGCCATGAACATTTGGTATTGGAGCATGTGGCCATGCAAATGTATGTAGTCTCATATATAGCAATCAACCTTATTCCAAAAGAGTCAATAGTAGCATCATTAACACATTTGGGAGTCTAAATAGAGCACCAAAATTACAAATTACTATTTATCTCATAATCAAGACAAACACTCGATCCATTATTGATATAGGCAGAGGATATGGTTCTGAAACAAATCAGAGAAAGTGCAAGAGTTCACCCATGATTTATCTAAAAATCATTTTCAGTGAAAACAATATTCTTTTCCTCCATTTGTTTAACAATGTTTGTAACGGCATGACATTATTACAAGCTCTTCAAATACACCACTATATCAAACCAAATTATAAGAAACAAGCTCTTCAAATACACCACTATAACAAACCAAATTATGAGAAAATCACTCGTATACTTAATTCTACCTTCTAAAAAGAATAAAGACTAAAAAAGAAGTCTAGATTCTTTTGGTAGAACTACCGGTCATCTCAACTACTAAAGATCTGAAACCACAGAAACAAGATTAAATCACAAGCGACAAAAATATGAGAAACCGATTTAAATTAATCTCCACACAAGAGACACAAGATTCCAATACGATCAACAATCACCCCGTTTAGACAAGTTTTCTTTAAACAAAATTCTATTTTGCAAAAATATATATTAAAGATTCTATTATTATAGTATTTATGCCTTTTCAAAATTTTGTAATTATAGCTAAATTAGCCCGGTCATGCATGTGCATGTGGCCTTTCTTTTTTCACACTATAAAGCAAAGTATCTCAATTTCATATATGATTTCTCTTAAGCATGTGATCAAGTATGAATTAGAGTTTCAATTTGAATGAAAAAGTAGACATTTAGCAATACATACATAAAATGACTAAAAAAAGATAAAGTTTCAACCTTTTAACAATGCGCAATTCAAGCTGGAAAATAAAGTTTAGTCAATGTAAAAAGACAAAAGATCATTGTAATGATAAGGTTGATACATACATCATTGAAGCATGTCTTCAAATCCAACTAACTATCACTTTTCTTTATTACATGCTTCCTCCTTTCCCTGTTTAAGGGTCCTTTTTGATCCCCTTATGGGTGGTATAAATCATCACACCCCTCTTACTTTAAGGTTTCATTCATTTTTTGTAGTGTGCTTTTGTTTTTAATCTACACAATTATCAATACTATCATACACACACACTCTAAAGTCGGTATTAACCATCCTTAGAGGTTCTATATAAAAAGTTGAAGTTAACTTCAGTTGAGTCATGAAATTTTGTTAAAGGGTCTATTTAAACTGTAAATTAAGTGTGAAATATGTGTATGAAGGTCAATTTTTCCATAGCTTAATCGTGAAAAAGTGAGGCCCTGAACCAAAAACCGTCATAGACATTCTCAAAGACAACACTATCTATAAGCAACTAATTTTACCATCTACTAGCAAAAGACCAGTAATTAAAGTCAGTGTAAAACTCAGTATAAAGAGACTCAACATAAAAATTGTTGTTAGAGTTTTGAGTACTTAAAAAATATATTATATATCTCCGATACCTTTTGAATTTTCAAAAGCATTACAAAGAATCATGTCTCCAAAATTTAGTTTTTAATGTATTACATAATTGACTAAGACAATGCTTTATCAAATTTGTATTAATTAATTGATTAAGACTTAAGAGTCATGCATATGACATGATTATCAACAAAGTGAGTCCTATAATGTTTCATAAATCATACCTACTTCTACCTGATATGAATCACTTATTTCCTTTCACACACTACACAAAAATGAGGATTTATGATACTAGTAACACTTAATAATAATTTGAAAATTCCTTTAAGTAAAAGTTAAGCAAAATGATGAAAAGGCAAAAAAGCATAAAGCTGAAACCAGAAAGTTAACAACAGCAAAGTCCCTTTACAAATTGAACAATAGAATGAAATTTTACTTATACTAAAGTTTTTACCTTAGTAACCTTTTGAATTTCCAACTTTTCTTTTTCCATTTATGTTCCAACAAACATTGCACAAACACAAGTGTACTCATAGACCAAATGGGCTCACAGCAATGAACATTGTCTGATCATTCTTCATTTGGCATTCATCTTTCAATTGCTTCTTCTTCATGGGGGCTCGTTGCTCTAAATTCTCTTTCTGTTGGTTCCACTCTCACCTCAATCCTTCTGTTCTTGATTCATCTGACCAAGGTTTGTTTCCATTTTTTTAGTACACACTGACATCGATATAATAGAAGATGTATCTAGTGTCTGACACTGACTGACACATGTGATTACTGTTGAGTTAATTTATTTTAGAAATCATTACTGGTGTCAACGTCTTAGAGTTGTGTCTGATGTATGTGCTAGTGTCTGATATTTATAGCGTGACAAACTCTTTTGTGATTTAAAAATGTTTTCTTTATTTATGTCAGCATCTTAGAGTCATGTCTGGTGTCCGTGATTGTGTTTGATCTTCATAGTGTGACACACTCTTTTGTGGTTTAAAAATGTTATCTTTATTGTAGAAAATGGTGGCAAGAGTGAAAAGAATTTGTGGCCTAGTTTTAGTGAGTACAGTTTGGAAGAATTGAAGGCTGCTACAGATGGATTCTCCTCAGACAACATAGTCTCTGAGCATGGTGAGAAAGCTCCAAATGTTGTCTATAAAGGGAAACTTGAGAATGGACAGTTTATCGCCATCAAACGTTTCAACAAGTTCGCTTGGCCCGATTCTCGCCAGTTCATTGTTTGTTTACTTTTCACTTTCACTTCATTATTCTTTTACCGTAATTATAGTTGCAGACTGCAATTTAAAACTATGTTGTGTTCTTGTAGGAAGAATCTAAACAAGTGGGGAGTCTTAGAAGTGAACGTTTGGCGAATTTGATTGGTTGTTGCTATGAAGGGGATGAGAGGCTACTAGTGGCAGAGTTTATGCCACATGAAACTCTTGCTAAGCATCTCTTTCATTGTGAGTTCTTTCTTTAAGATTAGTATAAACTTTGTTTTAGTCTTGGTTAAGTTTAAGCATTCATTGAATTGGTTTTGACATTTGAATTTTGAACATGGAAATAACAAATTATGCATGTTAAACTTTGTGTAGGGGAGGCACAGCCCATGAAATGGGCAATGAGGTTGAGGGTGGCATACTATTTAGCTCAAGCTCTTGAGTATTGCACAAGTAAAGGAAGGGGTTTGTATCATGATCTCAATGCCTACAGGATCTTGTTTGATCAGGTATAATCTATATAGCAATGACACTTTAAATTAAAGACATGTCTGATATCCGACTCATATCGGTTTAGGATGTTTCATCACTACTATTTTCTTAAATTATATCCTTTTTGTAACTTGGATGGCATCTACAGGATGGTAATCCCAGGTTATCTTGCTTTGGACTTATGAAGAACAGCAGAGATGGCAAGAGTTACAGTACAAACTTGGCTTTCACGCCTCCTGAGTACTTGAGAACAGGTAATGTTTTATCAACTTATTTGGAACTATTCATATTTTAAGCTTGGTAAATAAAATTTAAAAACCAAACTTGAAATGTGAGCTGTCAGATCTTCATCCAATAGCTACGATAGACTGATTGCATATATGTTTGCATTGCATGTTTCGGTACGTCACTAGCTCTCTTTTGTACATTTGATATGCAGGTAGAGTGACAGCAGAGAGTGTGGTTTACAGTTTTGGAACTCTGTTGCTTGATCTCTTGAGTGGTAAACATATTCCACCAAGCCATGTAAGTTTTTCTTTCCATTCTTTACTCATGAATAAATTCATGATAATGGTTAATGCCTAAAGTACTCTATGAAGAACTACCACAGACGTCATATACAATAATAACACTAACACGCAGACAGACATCGATAATAATATAAAACATAGAAGTGCAGATGCCAATCACTCACTCAATTCGTTATGAAGTATCAATACTATATAAGAATGGTCATGGCTTGGTAGAATATCTTTACCACGTCATTCAATTATGTTTGCTCATACGCAGGCACTAGACCTTATTCGTGGCAAAAACTATTTGATGTTGATGGATTCTGCATTAGAGGGTCATTTTTCAAAGGATGATGGAACTGAGTTAGTTCGTTTGGCTTCTCGTTGTCTACAATATGAAGCTCGCGAGAGACCAAATGCAAAGTCTCTTGTTGAAACTCTAATGTCTCTTCAGAAAGAAATCGAGGTATACTAATCATATGATACATTTTGTTGTGGCCTAATAGATCTATTAACACTAAATTGGATCGAAGAAAGTAATATACTTTGTTGAACAGCAATGTGAAAAGTGTTAAGACAATCTTAGGAAAATTATGATCTCTCATTTAATTTGGATAGTACATGAACAGGTTCCATCACATGTTCTGATGGGTCTCCAAACAGCAACATCAACAAAACCATTGTCATTGACATCTTTTGGTGAATCATGCTTGAGATTGGATCTTACTGCCATACATGCAATATTAGAGAAGACTGGTTACAAGGACGATGAAGGAATTGCCAATGAGGTTTTCTGTCAAACTTGAATACACAAAATGAAATAGAGGAATAGCAACTTTGTTTTACACACTTTTCTCTCTAACTTTGTGTTACTAACTCCAATGTTTGAATGTTGAAACTGCAGCTTTCCTTTCAGTTGTGGACTAGTCAAATGCAAGAGACCTTGAATTTGAAGAAGCATGGAGATGCTGCTTTTAGAGCTAAGGACTTCGTCACCTCCATTGACTGCTACACACAAGTAAGAGGATTTTAAGCATTCTGTTTCGATAAACAACTAAATTAAACGTCAACAGTATAAACAATTATCATATAAGCTATTCTAAAGAGTTTATGAATATGTTATAAACTGTTTTCATAAATTCTTTTAAACATACTCACAAGTGCTTATGTCAATATATAAGCTCAAATAAATCGATACAACAGACCTTATAACGTAAATTGGATGCTATGAATAATGTTAATATTGAAACGACTATGATGTTGCATACTATCTTGCGAAACATCTCAAAAGTTATATTCATTGGTATATATGTATACATCCTTGGCAGACTCGAATCCTCTTTAGTCTCTACATCAAAATCTTAGCTATTGAATTAATCAAACGACTATGAGTGATGATTTTAATATTTAGTTTTAATTTTGTTTCATCAGTTCATAGATGGAGGGACCATGGTGTCACCTACAGTGTATGCAAGGCGCTGCTTGTCATATTTGATGAATGACATGCCACAGGAAGCTCTGGGGGATGCTATGCAAGCTCAAGTGGTATCTCCTGAATGGCCTACTGCTTTGTATCTTCAAGCAACTTGCCTTTTCAGCCTTGGAATGGAAAATGATGCACAGGAGACTCTCAAAGATGGGACTAACATGGAAGCTAAAAAGCACAAAAACTGAAATTTGTATAGATTTTTCTTTCTTTGTTATGATCTCAAGTATTATTTTATGTGTTTATTTGTTGGTAGCTTTTTATTAGGCCTTGCATCTAACTTCATCTATTACCATTTTGTTTTTTGGCTTTCTGTAATTCGTTGAGACACAAGATAATGACTCTGACTGGCTTGAAATTTCACATGTATGTGACCTCTTTTTCCTTCTTTCTTTTTACCTGCATATGTTTGGAGTTGGAAGAATATACTTTGATTCATATGAGTTTTGATCCCAGATGAACCAATTTCTAATATATATTGCTTTATTATCACATAAGAGATTAAGGGATGTATACCGTGAGAGAATTCGTATAGTTTGAATTAACTCATGAAAAAAATTAGTATAGTTCTCAATATTGCAAAAAGAACTTTGAAAAGATCAAGCACCATATGTTTGTCTGAAAATTTATATACTTAAGAATAGAACAACGTACAAAGAAGCAGATTGAAGCAAAAATATTTGGAAACAATATGAAAATACCAACTTCAAGAAGGCATTGTCAAACATCAAATGTTACATTGTGCCTATATCACCAAAGAAACTAATAGTTTAGTACCTGCTATATTCAAACGACCAATCATTGCATGTGTTTTCCTACTACGGGGGTGGCAAAGGCTCGATGGAGTTCCCATGCTTTGCTTCTGCCATTTCAATTTCGTACGGGTGATTCTCTGAAGATTTATCTTCTTCCATTGCCATCTGTTTCAGTTTCTCTTGTTGTATGGCACGTAGCTCGTATCTGATTAACAATGAGGGGGGAGTCAAATGTCATCAAAGCGTGTCTTTTTACATTTTTTCTCACTCTATGTTTTGGTGTCAATGTATGTGTTGGTGTAAGTATTGCTATTGAGCGCACAAACAAAAAACGGAAAGAAACAAAATTTTCAAAGCTATCTACCAAAATCAACAAAAATTTCAGACAATTGAGTTCTTACTATTTTGTGATCATACAACAATGGCAATAAGTTGTAAAACTTACGGGGCAAGATGGCTCCTAGCAAGTGCGAAGTAAATTGTCCAGAATTGATTGTCCTTCAAATGGCGAGGACACAGTACATATCTCAGTTGAGACATTTCCTGGAATGTAATTAAACTATAATTATTCATCATTCAATGCCACATTCAACAGCATATATAGCATTGTTATCAAAAAGTTCACCTGAGTTAGACCATTGGGCACTTAATAAGGCTAAAATACCATATAAGTATCCTATTGGGCACTTAGTAAGCGAGGAATTACATGATGAATTATATGGAGACTATCTGAAAAATAGAGGTAAGATGAAGACGACTAAAAAGATGAGCAAATTAGATTGTTGACCTCTCAAAAATTGATAGAGGAGGCACCAAAAAAGATATTTGGACTAATATCACGTCAACCGGAGGATGGGAGGGCACGTGTGGCTCACATAGTCTAGCCAAAATCCATGTTGTATGATGTGTAAGACCTGAGAGACTTTAAAGGTCAACAATGGGAGAGTCGATAGGAGGATTTTGGGGTTAGGGCTCGTGAACCATCCTAGATGATGGTTGGACAGCAAGTCTGTTACGATCACTAGGGGTTTTTGTTTTTGGAGGTTATGGTAATACTAATATCAAGCTTATGGATAGGAAATAGGAACAGTACTGCGAAGGATACTATAGTACTTATCCCCGCACATGTTTTTTTTAAAATTAACCATACCAAGTCTTACAGACTTTTTAGTAAAACTTATTGATCCTTTCACGAAGAATGTGTAGTGCATATATAATAGTCCTAGTACTAATTCTAATATTAACATAAATACTATGATCCCTTGATTTGGGGAGTTTACACTAGTTACAAGGTACTGTAAATACATACACTCCTAAAGCTAGAAAATAGATATTCGCCATTCCGAAGTTCGACAGAGCTAGTTCAAAACCCACCACCCTTTGGCAAGAGCATACACTACCGTAAGTTGTCTGTGTGTGACTTATATCGCTGGTAGGAACCTCAAATCATCTACGCCTATAATTCGGGATATGATCCTATATCCTATCCTATCTATTAGGATCCCTTTATGTATTAGGCACAAACTTCAAACAGGTGTCAATTTGTCAACAGAAAATCAATCAACCAGCTATTCTCCCAATTCGGTTCAAGGATGAGTCTTTTGTTTTAACTCTAGGCCACAAAAAGATCTCTTTTGTATCTAGACCTGTCACAATGTTCCATGCAAATGCCGTTAACAAATACTCAACTACTAGAATTCAAGGCTGCTAGAATCATTCAAAAACCCAACAGAGACAGTTTACAAGAACTACTTAAAAAGTACATAATCTTTTCACCTACACTCCTAGTACCGTCTAGTTCAAAACGGTGCGCACTATGCAATGCAATGTAATATACGCAAACACGAACACCATACTTGATTTTATCGATTAAAGTCATTAAACTGTAATAACATTATACTACACTCGTTCTTAGCTAAAAGCCCGAGAAATGTGGGATTATATAGATTAAACTAGTTTTACTATTTAGTAGTTGAATTAAACATAAGTAGCAAGAACAATAGCATCATAATAAACCACAATTGGAAAAAATCAAACCTTTACTCTTGAGAGTATGAGAACTGCATGTCTCTCTTGCCACTGAGAAAGATCCTTTCGAACTCTGGTTGAATTAGGTTGAACTTCTTCACTACAACTGGATTCATCTTCATCTGCACCCAACAAAAACTAATCATAAAACAGTTACAAGACGTAAAAAATTCACAGCCATCCATGATCAAATTGACATGAAAATGGAAGAAACTAAAAAAAAAATTGAAATTTGGGAATTTAAAATGGGACCCATAAACATAAACCCTAACATTTTCTTCAATTTGGGGGCAAAACAAAAACAAGAAAGGGAAAACCTTTGAGAGGGAAATTTTTGAAGGTGTCAATGGTGAATGATTTGACGAGGTTTACGAGTTCGTCGGTAATCCCATGATGTTCATGTTCTTGTGATTGTTGTGTGGAATTGGATTCTGTTGGAGTGTTTGGATTTGTGGAACTCTTGGAAAAGGTGCGTTTAAGCCAATACATTGTTCTCACTTTGCTTTGCTTTCTTCCAAAGAGTGCAACTACTAAGCTCTTTAAAAGAAATCTAAATGATAACTTTTTTTTTTTTTTTTATAAATAAATTGAGTATCTTCTGCGCGCATTTGTATGTGGAAGAAAATTTTATTACATTAAACTCTCATTTGTATTTACAATCTGTATATATGATTTCACAATTTAAATTTGGTTTTGTTTATGTAGGAGAGACAGTGTAATATGAACAAAACTCATCATTATATTAATAGTAAAATACACATTTATAGTAAAATACTGATTTTTTAGAGGTCTGCAACAAATAATAAAAATAGATCTTTAATAAAAAAATTAAATAATTAATTTTGAATTTTGAATTTCTTTTTTTAATTATATTTTTATATTAAAGTTTAATAATTAAGAAATGATTATATATAAATATAAAGGTGCATACAGGCAAAATATTTGATTAGTTTTGTTGGTCATAGTAGAACTTGTATTTTTCAATTACATGGGTTCGATTTCATTTGATATTATTTATAAAATCTTCCATCATTTCTTCTTTAAAATTTTTTGTCGGTGGAAGCTTCTTCATCATCCTCATTGTTCGAAACATATATTCTCTTTGATGAAGCTTCTTGATTAGCAGACAATGATTCTTTAGAAGATCATTTTGTTGGAAGTAATTCATATTCAGAAGTTGTTAGAATTAGAAGCAGGGTTTGCTCAGAAATAGTTGAGCTTCTGAGGTTGTTAGCCATAAGATGTAAGCTTCTGAAACTGCTTAGTTAGAAGCAGTAGTTTGATATATTAAGAAGTTGTTGTTAGTCAGAAGCAGAAGCTTTTGAGGTTACGTCCAGAAGTATGTTCAGTTCAGCTTCTCTGGGTTTCAAGTTTGTTAGCGTAGCTGTTAAGTTTAGTATTTCCTAGTTTGTACTTTTTAACTTAGTCATTAAGTTTATCTTTTAGGGCCTACGTGGCAATTTACTTTGTGTATAAATAGATTAGTAGTAGCAATCATTTGTATCATTCCTTTTGTAAGCTTTATAACCGTCATTGCAGTAAATATATTCTCTTTTACCTTTTCTTCATTTATTAACCTTGTACACCAACAAATTGGTATCTAGAGCTTCGGTTGGATTCACGGGAAACACGAGTGAAACGATGAGGCGTTGTGTGATTGATTTTGGTTCTTGAATTCATGTTGAATATTGAACAAAATCTGAACAGAATCACATTTTTTGATTATGTGGGATTGGAAAACACTGTGTTTGTGAGATCTGAGATTTTGTACAAGGTTGAAGATGAACGGAAACGAAAATCTGAGTACCAAGGTTTCAGTTGTTTGATGGTAAGAACTGGAATCATTAGATGATTCAGATGCATGTGTTGTTTGGTGTTCGAGATATTCTTGAGCTTGTTACCGAAGGTTATATTCTAGTTGCAGAAAATATAACAGAAGAGCAGAGCAACACACAGAGAGACAAGAGGAAAAAAGATCAGAAGGAGTTATTCTACATCCATCAGTGTGTGGATGTAAACGTGTTTGAGAAGATTGTAGATTCGACAATATCTAAGGGTGCGTGGGATATACTGGTCAGATGTTATGATGGTGACACATCAATGAAGAAGGTGAAACTTTAGTCCCTACGAAAGTAATATGATAATCTCAACATGAAAGACAACGAGAAGGTTTCTGAGTACATCTCTAGATTGATTCTGATCACTAATGAGATGAAAGTTTGTGGAGAAACCCTTTTTGAACAAGTAATCATTGAGAATATATTGAGGTCTCTTACTCCTCAATTTGATTACATTGTTGTAGCAATTGAATATTTTAAAGATCTGGACACCATGATAATAGAATAGCTGCAAAGCAGTCTAGAGGTACAATAGTTATGTCTGACTGAAAGAACTTCTGAGAGGGA